AAGTGCTCCAGGTAGAGGGCAGACACTGGGCTTCAAGTGCAGTGCTTGCACTGGGGGCCCTGAGCTTACCATTCTCAGCCCTTGTGAGAGCACTGCTCCTGGGGACAAAATCTCCTGAGGTGTTCTACACATGTACCTGTGGCAGTGTGCTGGCAGCCACACTCACTGTGCCCCCCGTGGAAAAAAATCCAGGTGGCATCTTGCAGTCCCAGAATAGACTCAAGTTACTTGCAGTAGCTGCTGTGCTCAGATAACAGATCCTGTTGCCCAAATCTCAGCTGGGGCTTGAACAACAACAGCACCATCCTTCTCTTCCCTCCTCATTTCTTTAAAAGAGAGAGTAAATGTTGCAATATAGTCCTAGCAGGTAGTCACCATATTTGAAATGGGCATATTTATTTAATGCTCTGTCTAATTTAGAAACTTGGTTTCTTTCATTTGGGGTTGAAAGCCTTCATTTGATCATTATTCTTCCATGCTTTGCATATCATGTTGCTATACAATCTTTTGTGCTCACTGCTGGTTATCTAGCTGGGTTGGAACCCATCCCCTCTGCTACTCTGAGACATAATGATTCATCAGAAACCCATATCTACTGAGAAAATCGAATAGATTTAAAATGGCACTTTCAATCTGTCGCAGCAATGAGGGCTATTACGCTCTGGTTGCTGGAGAATTTAATGTAGTGTGTGTCACTGCAATCAGCTGAGCACATCAGCTGATAAGATTGTGGGTTTCATCCTGAAGAGATTTTGAACTGTCAAATAATGAAGATAAAGTACAGGAATTATGCCGTTCCTGCTATTATGCTCCTTGTCTGTGCCCCATCATGTCTTTCCTTTGCTACTGCATACATCATGTGCTGGTAATGCTCAGGTTCATCAGGAGGGTCTCTGAGAACTTGAAATACTCCTTGCAGGACTGTTTTTGTAGCTCAGTGCTGGCTGGGCTGTATTCTTTGCTGTGTGAGGCACAACTGCACTGTACCCTGAGGGAAAAGGGGAAAAATGCTGCTAGAAAACCATGAGACAGAAAAGACTGGGCCTGATGTGACAGTGGGTGTCACAGTTCTAATGGTGTCTGTAGAAAACGAATGGTTTCTCTCCTAAATTTTTGTTGTATTGAACTTCTTCAGTAAGGACTCTTTATTAGGATGTGAGGCATCCCATGACTGATTAGCATTTGAAGCATCATGTGACTGGGGCATCTCTTATGAGGAAAGGCTGAGGGAGCTGGGCTTGTTCAGCCTGGAGAACAGAAGACAGAGGGGATCTTCTCAATGCATACAAATATCTCAAGGATGGGTTTCAAGAGGGTGGGGAAATGATGTTTTCAGTAGTGTGCAGTGACAAGAATGAGCAGGGCTACCTCCAGCTGAGGGACTCTAACAGGGAGAGGCCTTTTCCGTGGTTATTAAGGCTGAGCTCTTCAAGTTCAGGCTCTTATATTTCAGCTGCCTTCAGTTCCTTTGAAAACACCACTTTCCATGCTTGATGGTTACCAGTGCTGTCTCTGGATCTAAAATCAGTGACAATTTGATCTTTTAAATAGTGTCCTGGGGGCTGCTTCAGTGGCTTTGCAAGAGTGAGCTTGAAGGCTGGCACATTACTTGTGTGCTACAATCCTGGGACAGTCCATCTTGAGGCCTTTCAGAGCTTTCTGCTTCTCTTGCTCTGTCAGCACTGGAACACAGCAGCCGTTCCTGTAACTGAGAATGTGCGTGTGCAGCTGGGCTGTCAGCAAGGAATAGATGTGGGCGAGTGGCTGAGGGAGCATGAATGAATGATTGAACAGAGGCAAATGCAACAAAAGCTGTGGTTGGAAAGAGAAGGCTTGGAATCAGCTCACCCACCGCTTTAATATGTTCTTTACAATGAGGTATACAAGCAAGAAGAGGATGGAGGGGTCTTTACTCCCCTAGATGCTGGAATTCAATGTGGTTTTTTTCTTGGATGTATTCTATACTCCCTTTAGGAATGGGAAAAATGCCCTGGTTGCCAGTGCTCTTAAAAAGTTAGATTTCCTGAATAAATACACTGCAGCTTCTGTGGTGAGTGTGGGGAGTCTTGCTTAACTTAATGCTCCATGGAAAGCTGCTAGATAAGGAGAGCTTGTCTGTGTGAGACTGAGCAAGCAACTGACTATGAGATTTTCTGATATCCTAGAACCCAAAGTGTTTAGCAAAAGTGTTTAGCAAATAGATGAGGTCAGTGAAGCAAAACAGAGATGTTTCATTAGTCTGTTCAGTTTGATGCTATCTGAGACTTATTCATGGGGAGAAAAAAAGTCTTTCCCACCATTGAGCTGGTTTCTCTCTGGGCTGTGTTGTGGTTTGGTTGTAGCTGGCTTGCAGAAGTTAAAGGAAGAATAAAAAAGGAAATATCTGTGTGACCACAGAAGGATTGGCTGGCAGGCCACGGGGAAAAAGCATGTCCTTTTTGGCCTTCTGGGAAGTAAACAAAGCAGAAGGGAGACGTAAGAAGTGTGTGGGTTGATATCTCTCAGCTTTTCTTCCTCAAGCCATATAGAAGCTGAGATGGGAGAGAATTCAGGGAGGGCGGTGTGCTAGGCTCAGCTGCTCCTGCAGACGCAGTAAGTGCTCGAGTGAAGTTGAGCAGGAGAGAAACAAACATTATGATTGTGTGACTTCCTTTGAACTAGGGGGCTTACATGCTTTCCTGTAGTGCATAACTTGTTCCAGCCCTATCTAATCTCATTCTCTTTGATTTGGGTTTATGTTAATTTGGTTAATTCTGAGGAAAATGGTGTGATATCTCAAATGCCTTCTCTCAGCTGCCTGTTAAAACAGGTATCTTGAGCTCTTCATGGGGGTTACTCTGTAACCTTAGAGTTAAAAACCTCCAAAATGAAAGGAACCATTCTCCTCCCGATGGTAAAACAGTTTATTTTCACCCTGGTACTGGTGTCCCAGAATAAGCTCACATTCTTACGTGTGCGATTTGAGTCATGGGCTTCCTCAGGAACGCCACTACAATTTTTTCCAGTATTTTGCTGAAACATGAAGGAGCTGTTTAAATTAATTTGGAGAAGAAGAGCTTGCTACAACAGTACAGAACTTGTTTGAACTTTGCTTTGACTTTGGTTGGACAATGATCAGAGAGGCTTGCAGGTTAAATTTCTGCTTTTCTTCAGCAGTATCATAAAAACTCTAAATTATGAGTTTTACAAGGCAAAATTGTGTTTTACAGCACTGGGCTATAGGAAGTAATTCTGTTTCAAGCACTAGCAGAAGTGTAGCTTTCTCACAGACTCTTTTGGGAAGCTGACCCATGCTCTGGAGAGCTGATTTTGTTAGTATCCTGATCTCAGCTTAATTTTGCAAGCAGTTTGTTTTTCTACTCTGAAATGCCTCCAATGTGCAGTTTTGTTTATCTTGCAAGGCATACAATTAGGCACAAATCTGACATCTAATATGTAAAACTGGTAAAAGAAATAAGAACTGTGTTCAGATCACCAGTCAGGAATAAAATGCAGGATCTGGTTGACGACATTTGAGCAAAACAAACAAACCCATAAAAATTGAGGAAACACATACTGTGTGATGGCAGTTGTGTTCAGTGTTCAAGCTCACGTAGCAGGAAATATTAACAAAAAGTATCCAGAAAATAAATAATCCTGCCTGAGAAGTGTTATAATGTATCTTTCCCTGAGACTTCTTTTACAGTGTGCTCACATCTTGTAAAGATGTATTTTAGCTGGACAGGAGAAAATAAGAAATGATGTGACAATGCTCAAAAGGCAATGAAGTTATCAGAGCACAGGAATACTGCCACTCCTTTCTTTCTCTGGTTTCTGGAATTACCACAGGTGTTTGATAGTGAGAGATAAAAATACCTTAGTCTTTTCCCACAGGAATTAGGGTGATTTTAGTCTCTTAATAAACAAAGATGAGCCAGGCATGGTATAAAGGCAATTTAAAACTCATTTGATGGATTAAGGAGAATCCTCTGTAGAACTGAGTAGAATTTTCTCACTTGTTTTGGTCTCGTCACTTTTTGGTCACTCTTCCTTTCCAGAGCACTTGTATCACTGTTGGGCCTGATCCATAAAGTGAGACTGAAACTCTTGAACAGAAAGGAAGTGTAAATTGTGCAAGATAAAATATGTACTGCAGTTTATGGTACTTATGTGCCATTTGTGTAATAATGCCAATCCCAAAGTTTTTAATGTGTTAGGGCTTATTTTTGGTTTTAATTTTTTTTTTTTAAAGTGAGGAAGCTTGCTTCAGAAGTAATTGATCTGTAGAGAGAGCATCAGGAAGTTCATTTGTACCTTCCTGTGGTTATAGATTCACTGAATCCACCCTAAAATAGAAAACTAAAGTAAGTTCTTAACTGTATTGTCTTTGATGGAGTTTTTAACTTAAATGAAGGCTTCCCTCTTGAGCTAATGGTGTAATTAACCTCTTGCCTAATCCTTTCCCACTCTCCATCTCCTTTGTGTCTCTCCATAATTCTTTGTGTGCTGTGAGCTAGAACTATGACTTGAGATAATGGCAGCTGACGTGGGCTCTGTTTGGTTGTTGGCAGCTGCTGGCATTTTCTTGTCAAGGATTTGATGTCCAGGTTTTTGTCTAGACTTAGATGCCTAGTCAGATACCAGATTTGGGTGGAAAATGACAGATAAACCTACTAACAGGGTAAATTGAGAGGGATGAGGTCCACTGCCATATGTTCTGTTACTTACTGCTATCCTGTGTTGCCTGACTTGTGTTCTGAGTGTGGCTGAAATCTAAGCTGTATATATGGTTTTTATAATATTATAATTTATATTATGTCTGTGGGACCCTCATCTCCAGACTGAGGCCATGTGGGTGTTCCTGTGGTGTAATAAACAGCAATGGCATGTGCCAGCCCATGCCTTGCAGGCAGAACTGCTTATGACAACCTCAAAAACTACAATAAAATATAACATGTCTTCTTTGTGATCTCCATTTAAGTTTGGGGTTTTTTTCTTTATAACTATCTTTGTAGGTAAAAACTTCTGAAAACAGCACTTAATTTAGCAGAAGAAGGTATTGCAAGCACCACAGAAGGTGACTGAACTACCCAAATCCATGCTAGGAAAAAGTCCTTCAGATAGTTGTTAGACCTGTGTGTCTTGCCTTGAAATGCACTGGATCCAGATTTACTTTCTGAAGAGTTGCTGTAACTCAAACAAGCCTCACAGGTTAGTGCCCTGAGGTGAAATATTTTGGCCTGTCTTCTGCCAGGACTGATACCACAGATTCATAATGAAGTATTTTAGCATTAAAACTGATGAACTTTAATGCTGACTGATTAAAAATGCTGCTTTTTGTGTTTCTTTTTTTAACCAGACTAGGTGCATTCTCTGTATAGGTAGTAACAGTAAACTTTTTCTGATGAGCATTTTAGTACTGTATGTCACTTGCATCTGCAAACAATTGCAACTTGTATGTGTATTTTTCATGATGTTGGGCAGCCTTAATGGATTCTTCACCTCTGTGGAACTCCTACTGTCTGTGTGTATGGAAGGTCCTTGCAGATATGAGCTGAGACCTCGGTACTTTATTCCTGGTTGTTTTGTTGTTTTTTTCCCTGTAAGAAGAAGCTGATCCAAGCCTTTGAAATTATTGTTGAGAATTGACAGTGCTGTTGGTATAGGTCTTATTTCTTGTACTGGGAGTCTGACATAAACTGACTGCTACTTCCCTGGGACCACTTTCTGCCTCCATTAATCTTTTCCCTGCTCTCTTGATGCAGTTCTTAATTTCAGCTACTGCATCCCAGTGTGTCTGGAGCAGCTGAGTAGGTCCCTCCACCTTGCTTGTTGATGGCTTGTCTTGGGGCCTATTTCTGGAATGACTCACTTCAGCGTTACTGAATTATGACTCTCAAGTTTGTCAGGAAGAAAGTTGGTTGCCATAAATGAAGGGGATGAGCAGTCAGTCTATGTGGTTCTGCCTCCTCTTTGTGATTCACACCCCCTCAAGCACTGTCAGGACAACTCTTGTCATTTTGCTCCTGCTCTTATCACAGTAAATGCTTCCTAAGAAGACTGAAATCCATCTTCAGCACCATTTACATTCCTGCACGGATTATAGCTTCTTTAATAAAATTAAGGTAGGACTTTTATTCTCAGTCTGCTGTGTATTACACTGGTGTTGAAAGGCCATGAGTATTTTTTCATAGGGTGAACATCCAGCAAGGCCATGACACCCCCTCATGGCTGACAGGTGAGTTACCTCAGCAAAAAGTGGACAATCTTTGAGTGCTGCTGACTCACTGAAACCTCTCCTGTAATGAGGCTCCTGGCAGATCAAACTTGCTGATAATGGCAGTCACCATAAATCTCTCAGCATTGTTTTTCTTTCTCTTGGATGTCACGGTGTTAAAAGTATTTATTTTTCAATGAGTTATTGGTCCAACTTTCATAGGACACGTATTGCCAGCTGGAAGTGTGGAGTGGTGTTATTGCTACTGAATCCCCTAGCTTAGAATGAAACTAATATTTTAGCTAATATTTTAGAGTGCCTACAACCAGGACCTTGCTTCATTTAGGCTCTCAGGCTCCTGTGATTTACTTAATCATTTGTGCACTGCCTAAGAGGCACTTGCTGATGTTCCCTGTTAGCTAGCATGTTAGTTAGCAAAACTTCAGGACTTCATGTTGGAATGCTTTTTTAGGAACATGTCTGAAGTTCAGTGGCACACCTTGAGGAAATGTATGGAAATCCTGCAGCAGAAAACAGACTGTGAATACTGAACATGAGAGGGGTGGGGAACAGATGCTATTTTTTTTTTTTTTTCTGCAGAAGTATGATGATTTTACTTGTAGCTTGAGCATAATTAACTACACTGGGATGAAAAAATTCCCTTTGGAGAAGGAAAAAAAAAAAGGCATCCATCCCTTCATTTCTCCTCTGGGGCCTTGGCTGGCTGCCTCAAAGTATGGGTGGGTGGGAATTCTGTGTGTGTAAACAAAACCCAAATGAACAAAAGCCCCATTTTCAACTTGTTGCTTAGCCATTGTGGAATTTAATACCATAAAAGTTGCACTGTTATGGATTACACACAGTTTTCCAGGAAGATTTTGTAGATTGGCAAAAATTGATCTGATTTTGTGGGGTGTATTTTGTTTGGTTTTGGATTTTGATGTTCTACATTGTAATATCAAGAGTAAAAGGAGACTAGAGTGATGGACAAAGCAAATCTGTGGTGTAGCAGAAGTAGTTCTTCATTAAAGTGACACTGCATCTCTTCCCTAGTGCTATCTTGCATCCTTTTGAGACTGTTCTGCACTCTGTAATAGAGCTAAAAATACTTTTGCTCTTTGTAAAACAGGGCTGTCCAAACCTTTAACGCTGGTGCTGCTGTACTTGGAATGTCTAGAGCAGCAGAATGATGGAGGATGAAGCAGCAGAAGCAGAGAACAGGAGATGCTGTGTTATGGGTAATCCTAAACTCTCCTGGTTGGAGACTGTGGAGTGTCACATTAGAGATTCAAATACATGCATGCACACAGAGCACACTTCTGTTTCCTGAGGGGAGCTACCCTCAGGCTTCTGCTTTGTGCGCTTGGCAGTGTTGCTGTGTTGTTACACTCTATTTTTCCCTAGGAAAAACCATACTGTTTCCTTGATGTAACTGTCTGTGCTTTATTGTTGCAATTTTCCAGTTTTGTAGTTTGTTACCATTGACCACAACTCTGCATTGCTCTGGAGCTCAGGAGCCACTGGGGCACAGCCTCTCGCTTGGCAGCACCGAGAGCATCCAGATCTCACCTGGAGGTTTGGGAGGACTGACCCCCTCCCAGGAAAGGTCCTTTCAGCTCCTCTACTACAGAAACAAGCAACAAATGGCAGAAAAGACAGCAGGTACCAACATGAAAAACTTTTTAATTTTTTTGTATTCTCTTTCCATCCATATGTCAGCTTCTCAGGAATGCTTGCCAGAGGATACACTGACTAGCTAGGTTTGTAAGAATATAAATATTATTGAGGGGAGAACGAAGGCCCTCTTAAGGGGAAATAACAGCTTATATTCATTTAGATTTCCATATAATTCTCCCCACTCCCATTTCCATGTAGCCAGGTAAGTTTTAAAACACCCCAGCTTCTCTCCTATAAAACCTGACAGTCTTGTGGCCCTCAGCTCACTGACTGTACTTGCAGCTCTGGAATACATTACACATTTCAGGGCTTTTGCTGTGGTTCAAATAGCTTTATATGGTACACTAAGCTACATTGCCACACTAATACAGCAGCCACTGAATATTTATGACTTAATAGCAATACATCTGCAGTGTTTGTTGAGAGATTCTAACAAAAACGCAGGTTTTCCCCAAAGAACAAATAATTTACTGAAAATATTTAATCAACCCATTTAAAATAGAAAATAGATTTTTAATTAGTCTAAATCTATATGCTTTCAAGATTCTGTCATTTTTATTAAATCCCAACAGTGGCCTTTTGGCTTATTTTTTTATTTCTAATAGTTCACTTGGCAAAAAAATTTATTGTGATTGGAAAAATAATGAACCTTGAGGGCTTGAACTTTAAATCCACTCCCCTCTTCCAAATTTGGGTGTCACTTTAACACTTGGTCAAGGAGAAAGACATATTTACATTAAGGAGATTTTTTTTCCCCTTGTTTTTGTGTATGAAATAGGGCAAGTCATCTTGCATTCTCTTGTATCATCAAATGCTCACTTAAATTTTGTAGAATAGTACTATAGGAATGCAGACCATTATACCCATTAACCATATTTATTAATTCACTGTGCTGTGTTAATACAGTAGAAAGTAATTTGGTTTAGTTCTGGTTATAATTTACCTTAGTCAACTTACTAAACAAAACACAATTTCCTTGTAAACCAAATTCTCAGAATCACTTTAATGCATTAGTAGATAATTAGTACTGGTTTACACAGTTTGGCTTAAAAAATCAGCTTTAATGTGACTACAATTACTTAAACTGGTGATGAAATACAATTATTCCTCAGACCACTTTTATACAGACGATTTTTTATACAGAGTGAATATAAAAATGTTTCAACAAAAAAGTAAGGGCTAAATTTTATTTACTTTCACTTAATAACCTTCATAATCTTTTACAGTCTTCTTCTTTTGTGCATAAAATCTACTTTTAAACAACTTATCAAGCACAATGGAAAAACTGAAATTACTTCAAAAATTATTAACCAAAGCAGGCAATACATCTTCATATAAATTGTCAGCTGTCATCTTGGAAAAAGGAAAAGTAAAGAAAAAGTGTAAAATTCGGTAATGACTTTACAGGAAACATTATTAATTTACTTTAGTGATACTGGTCTTCTTCCAGAGCTGGTCCTGGTGAGAGAATCCAAGGCACTGGAAGTGCAGCAATAATCCCATGGCAGTGTCACAGCAGGATGGGCTGGAGCCTGAGGCTGCCAAGGCACAGCTGGAACATGTGTGGGATGCCAAGCAGAGGAAACTGATGTGCAGCTGGCTGGAGAGCCACCTTGCAGGTAATGCTGAGAAATGCTACCTGTTATGCAATGGATGGGCCAGGTTTGTTTAGAATAAGATCAAACTGTATTTATTGAAATGAATATGAGAGAATCAAAATCATTCTGTTTGTTCAGATCCCCCAGCTGAATATCAATTCCCTTATCCTCCTCCCACCTTCTGTAAGCAAAATAGGATTCTGAGCTGAGTTAGCCAAGAACTTTGCACTGGAGTGGAAAACAACTTTTGTGAGAGTCAAAACATGAGCAATAGGAAGGCAGGTCTTGAATGTTTATCTGCAATTTGTTGAAACGCTCAAAAATCTCCCTGAAATTAGTCTTTAAAAAAGAAGTGGTTTCTTTGAACCAGTCTGAAGACAGAAAACAGCAGGAAAACTATGGAGAGGCCATACTTTGCAGAGGAGGAGAACCTTGCAGTTTGATGTGGATAATTCACAAACAGAATTTATTGAATATTCTTGATAAATTATGTTTGCAAGTTCTCCCACATCTAATTCATCTCTCTCCCACATCATTACTTTCTTAAAGTGACAGAAATCACCTGTTCTGATCCCAAGGGTAATTCCCCCTCTCCCCTTGCATGATTCATCTCACTTTAGCAATCTGGAATTTATAAGCATCTCTGATATTACCCAGTTTTTTGTAATAGTTTTCTCCAGCCTCAGAGCTTTTAAAATTCAAAGCTTTTTTACTCATTTAGTGTAGGTGACTTCATCTCCACTCAAGGAGACAGTTCTGTTAGGAATGCCCATGTAGGAGGTTAAGCTGCCTCTTGAAGAAGGAGCAATAGCTTTTCATTTTCAGCTCAGGTCATAAGACTATTTTTTTTTTCTTTTGTTGTTGTTGTTGTTATGAGAACTTTTGAAGAGGGGAGATGTGAACAAGTGATTCAGAGGATAAGCAGCAGCAGAGGAGGTACCTATTATTTTGTGGTGTGGACACTGCACTCCAGTGAGCAGTGGCTCCAGAAATGAGACATGGACACACATTTCTTGCAAGGAGCAACTTCTCTCTCCTTTACATGAGAGTAGGTGGTAGAAGAGACCCTGCTGAAGTTAATCCATTTTCTGGTCCAAAGAAACAACAACAGTACCACACTGCATTCCCCTCACTTGGAAAAGCTGAAGAGGCAAATTGAATCACAGTAACTTAGCTAACAAAGCCTTTAAAATTACAGTTGTCTTCAGGAATAAATTGCATCAATTTGCTACTGTGAACAATACTACTTCATAATATTAATAATATTACATAATAATAACATTAATGCTATAACAATATCTTAATATAATAGTAATATAATGAGATATCAATGGAAACACACAGGTAGCAGATAGTAATAATTAAGCTCCCCAGCTATTACAGAGGTCCTTAGATGCCCCAAACCAAAAAAAAACCTCATTAGCACAACCATTGGAAAATCCTGCTGTATATGGAGACAGTATCATCACCACTAAGCTTCCCAGCACTTAAAAGACCATTGGTTTTGTGTTTAATCTGGACTCATCACTTTATCTATGGCTTTGAACTTTATTCAATAAGTTTGATACTGCTTGTGAAATCAGGATGTAGGACTGGACTCTGATACAGCTTTTAGGTGCATACCCTGCCTTAGTGGCAATAACTGGCAGGAGCTCTGTTCAGCTGCACCCACAAGTGAGCTCAGTGCCTCATTGCTCACTAATTTGCCCTGCACTACACAAGAATAGGTTGATAGCTGATAAAAAGCTTTAGTACAAACCAGACTGTGTGATGATAATGGTCTATGTTCTGAAATCGAGCCTCTGTCTGAGATGCACCTCCATCCTTCTGTTACACAAATGCACTCTGATGGAAAGTACCTCCACAAGTGTCTGTTTCCATGACAAACATTTGTGTGTGCGTGTGCATCCATATACCTGGTCTTACCTTGGGTAATTAGGCATCTGTTCCTTGTCTCTTGGGCTCCTAGCTGTAGACTAAAAAGAAAAAGATGCAATCAATAATAATTTAAATCAGTAGGTAAGGCTTGTCCAAAATATCTTTTGAAGTTGAATAATTCAGAGAACACATTCCTACAGTGAGTCACTTTTTTATGTTCTTTACTTCAAATACGAAGACAACACATGTCCCTGGGAGCAGGGGAGCAAGAGACACAGAAATAAGCAGTTGTTGTGTGGGAGAATGACATGAGGTGGATTTTATACAATTCTTACTCCCAACAGCAAGACTGGTCTCTCTTGCTGGCAATTAGGGGAGGTGAGAGATACATGGATATTCATTGTCTTAGTGAACTCCTGTCAGCAGTGGGACTGTGAGCTTGCCTCATGATGACATGACTTGGTGACAAATAGGCAGGAAAGTGATTTTTGTTATTTTCTAGATTTAAACTTTGAGCATCATGAAGCTCAAGAAATCTGAAATAAGTCAAGCTAAAAATGTTCCTTTATAACTCTAGTGCATTACCAACAAGTGAGTATTTTCAAGACTAGAAGTCCTGACTGAAACACTTTTGAAGCCACGAAGGAAAAAAGCAGCTTCTCTATGACTTCCTCGCTGTCCAAACATACAAAAGCTTGTATGTACTTCAGGATCCCATGTTATTTCAACTTTGCTAAGTTTACTAAAGAAGCTTCAGTGCCTGTGAATCCAAATGCCAAAATTAGGGTCTGTCTTTGTTCATCTCCCTGTTGACCTACAAGAGACAACAGAAACTGGTGGTTGTGCTCAAAATAAGGGGGTGCTTTTTCAGTTTTCAGGGAACTCTACTTAGACACAACCTGCAAGCTGGAGAGGCATCAACTGATGAATAAGCAATCTGTTAGCAACTTGGACGAAAAAAAAGGCACTGATGAGGGCTGGGGAATGAAGCCAGACATTTTGGATAGCAAATGTAATCAATAACCTGCCAGTTTGTGGAATGTGCATAGTGCTCTTCTGAGTGTTTTTTGGATCAAGATGGGAAAGAGATTTGGTCTTTGGCAGCAAGCTGGGCATGTACAAATTTGGAAATCAAAATGTGGAAGAAGAAATTCTATGGAGGATGCCTTTACTGCAGTGGATTAGCAGACTACTTACAGGAGCAGGTCAGTATTAAAATGTCTACAACAACAGCTAGTAAAGTTGCCCTTCTTCATAGGAAGGCCATTTCCAGTGTCAGTACCTACTGATTTAACAGCTAAGGAAGAAATGCATGTGGTTGAGTAGCCTGTGGAAAAAGCTTTGACCTTTCCACAGCAGGCCACTTGCCAGTCTTGCCAGGGAGGCCAAGACAGAACAGATGTAAAGACTGAATTGTTCATTTCCCATGGGTTTATTTGTCACTGGAGGACTACTAAAACATGTAATATTTTTTTCCCAAGACCTACCTTCAACCATTATAGAAGTTGCTGGCATTGAAATAATAACAGTTGTAGTAACACCACCACCAATAATAATAAATCAAGCTAAACACTTGCTTAATGCAGTATTTGTCTCCTGAAGTCCAGCTGAGTTATAGATTGTCCTCTGGGGCCTCTGTCTTGCTCATTACCTAGCATAGATTGTCCTCTGGGGCCTCTGTCTTGCTCATTACCTAGCAATGAAGCAGGGACACTTAATACTCAGTTCCTGCTGCTATGTCAAGCCTGGAGAACAGAGCATCAGTCATTCCCAGTTTTGATGAGGAACCTGGCACTTCCCTCCCTGGCAGGTTGAAGGTCCCACAGATATTGGCTATGGGGGGACAGCTAACTAAAAGTGCAAGCTTGTGCATATTTTTAGGGGCTGGATGACTAAATCTGTGGGATGTGACACACAAGGTGCCGTAATGTAACTGCAATAGTAGGCAGATTTTGAAATTCCATGTTCAGAAACAGCCAAATAAGTTTCTTATAATTCGAATGCCCAGTGATGTAGGTAGGCATCCCAGGGTTTCTTAAATATTCCCATGTGCTAGGAAGTAAGGACGTGGGATGCACGTGAAAGCTATGTTGTTTTTTAAGACTTTAAAGGAAGCTTGACTAGTAATCCTTGCAAATATTGTTTCAGCTGCTGCCATTTGTTCTATCAGTGGACATGCACAAACCCAAGACTCTCCAGCCTTACCTAAGCTAAAGAGCATTGCTCAAAGATAAAGTTTCCCATGGGCAATAGGCTACTTTAGTTCAGTTGTTTGGTGGTGCATCCTGAAAAATCTGGGCTACTCAGATGTAAGAGTGGAACTTTTGTCCACAAATCTTCTATATAATTCCCTGAAATTTTATTTAAGGTATTTGTTTTTGTTGATTTTGTTCTGTTGGCTAAGAGCTTGAAAAAAAGATAAGGTTACTATCAATGTCCACATGTCAGACCAGTATTGAGTTAAAGCATTGTCCCTGCCTGTACGTTCTACAAATGAATGCTCTACAGGCATTATTTAGTTGTTCTTAAAACAGGGTTTTGTAGGTATTTAACTCCAAGAGTGGCAGAACCTTTTGCTTTGCAATTGATTTTTTTTAGGGCATTATTCAGTCCTATACTAAACTGTTACAAAATGAGATATGAACTTTGAGATAGCATCAAATGTTATAATGGAAGACTGAAGTGAGTGCCAATCTCATTAATAACATCATTACAGTGGAAGCAAGATCAAACTTATCAAGAAACTAAAAATTATGTTCCATACTAATTTCTAGGAGATATTTTCCTTTCTCATTAAAATAAAATCAAATTCCTTTTCTAACAGACTTCAGATGTGATCTCTTTAAATCCTCAATCAAGACTTCAAAAACTCTACAAAAAAGACTATCCAAATCCTGATTTCAAGCATGGAGTCTAGAGAGGGAGTCCCCATGTTTTTAAAGGTATAGCAGGAAGAGTCTGTACATACATGTAAGAAGTAGATTTATTCTTTGAATAAATCTGAGGACTGCTGAAATTCACACATACCACATTGCTAAATAGAATGTGAAACAAAACGTCTCTCAAATGAATGCTCTCTGGTCTGCTCTCCATAGGAACTTCATAGGAGAAGAGAAAGTAATTGTCATTTTTGTTTCAGGCAATTTATGTTTGGACCTAGAGATCCTCCTTCTGCAATCCTTGCTTACTCTTGCCATTGATATGCCTTCAGTTCTAGAGGAAGTCCTGTTTTTTCAAGCATTGAAGGATTTGATTTCTGTTCTTTGACACAGACCATAATGATTCTTCCCACTGTATTTCTGCAGTGCAAAGCTGCTGATTTATATTCATCACAGGATATATGACAGTGTACCAGAGGGCAGTGAGGTTAGGATCAGAAGGGAATGTAGCAATCATTATCTGAGTCACTGGATAATCTCACAAAATTAACAATTCTGGTGTTGATACTCAATTTCTGCTGGTATGATTTGATAGTGAACTCTGGAAAAGGAGGACAGCTACAGTAGCAGGACTGCTGCTGCGGCCTTAAAATGAAACCCTACAGACAAATACTTTCCAAGAGTCACCCTCCTGTTCTCATGAGTTGCAGGGATCCCAAGCCCTCAGGCTCTGAGCACCTTGTGAAGGCTTTTGCTCAGGACACTGCCCCCCTACCAGCCACAGAGAATATTAAAGCTGAAAGATCTGGACTGCAACACTGCTACCGGTCCAGCAGGAATTTCCCTTAATTAATTACAGTACCTCACAAGTTCACATGAATACAATGCTGTCAAAGAGAATAATGAAAGCAGTAGTGTGCATTTGCTCTCTTGCAGTAAGGAAATGACACATTTAGGTGGTAATTTTGAATAGAGATATACAAATGGTACAAAATCCAATGTGAAAAAACCCATCAATTTTCCTTTCAGCATTTGTACTGAAGTTCACAGAAATCAAAGGCCTAAAACCAATACCATCCAATAGAGTATTTTGTAACAAGAAGAGAAAATCATTTGCAGAAAAAGCAGATGCTTTATATTATTGTAGATGACATTCAATCAGAATGAATCATAGAACATTCTGAGTTGGAAGGCACCTGCAATCATCATAGAGTCCAGTTCCTGGCCCTGCATGGGAAAACCGCAAAACTCTCTTTTTTACCCCCAAAAGGGAAAAAAGCATCTTAAATCACCAATGGTTCAGTTTTAAATAATGACCACAATACTCATAAAAACTGCTGTAGCAGTATAAAGTTCATCAAGAATTTGAAAACTGATGGCTGATTTACAAATAAAATATTGAAGTCATCAAGCAAATTATTCTAAAGAAACCATCTACCCAAATTCTGATGATGCAGTAGGAAACAGGCTACAGAAAAGCTGAGCCACAGAAACTGAGTAAATTTTCTGCCCCATTAACTCGCAGTGAGATCATCTTTGGGATGAAATCTTGACACTGCTGAAGGCTTGATTATGCTAAAATAAATGTGGTCAGATACAAAAAATGTTCATTACAAATTCAGTGCCCACTCCAAAAGGGTTTGGATCAGACCTCTGCACTATACTTACAGTTCAAGGCTTCAGAGTCCTTAAAGGCAGAAAAAGTTCAACTTACCATTCAGGTTTTCATTTTCTTGTCTGTTTCTGACAGTGGTGTCTCTAAGGTGATGTACTTTTTCCTTTAAGTAAAAAAACAATCATAAAACCTGCAGCAGCACTCAGTAATGGAAGTTTGCTGTAGAAATAGTAGGACACTATAAAAAGCTGAATTCTTTAGCATTCTGAATACCAAGCATCACTTACCTGGAAAATAATTTTAAAAGACTGAAAAATGTTTATGATGCTAATTCTAGCATTTTTACCTAAGACTTGTGGTGTTATCCCTGCCAGCAGTAACTTAAAATTATTCTGGCATTAGAGTACAGCGGCTTTTGTGTTCTTTTCTGTTTGTTTGGGGTTTTTTATTTTTATTTTTTAAATTTTCTTTTGAAAAGCGATTTCTCCTCAAAAATCCAAGTGAAGGACAAAAAACTGCAGTGACAACATGAAGTCAGTTCATCATATTTATAGAGGAGTAAGAAGAAAAGACTTTTCCATGGAACAAAACCAAAGAAAAGTCACACATGCAATCCAGGGCAAAAACCACCAACTCCAATGTAGCTTTTTTCCTGAAGCATGGAAAACAGGCCAAGTAAATCTCCCTTGAAATAAGGGCATCTTAGAGTTCACAAAAAAATTATAAAATTAGCTATAACTTGGTGCTGCTATCATGGCATGGATTAGCTATGCTCTCCCTCCACAAGAAATGCCTCTGACTGAGAGCAATACCAGCAATTCATCCACATGCTTGGCTGCAGATGGATTTGGAAGGTCGCATTCTAGTGCTGTGCTGCTGGTGCCCAGCTTGGGAAATGCCCCCCCTAAACTGTTCCAGGCCCTTGCACTTTTGCTTCTAAGTGTTCCACTGTAATGACTAAGCTCAGACTTTCAAGCAGATGCAAATAGAAAGACCACTCTCCTTGCTGGCAGCAAGCTCTTCCACTCTTCCAAAGCAGAAGACTAGCTTTGCTTTTCCTCTTTCTACTAATGACCTAAAGGACAACAAGAAATTATTTTTGTTTATGCATGACCTCATATAAAATGAGGGCAGAACCTCTTCCTCCATGTGTCATCTTAGAAAATTAATAAACCTTAGCACTTAACAAACCTGCTCTCCATGACTTGCAGTTTTAATGCAGTTCTTTCAGCAACTTAGTGTGTGGGCTTCTGTAAATCTTGTTTTTGTGCACCTCAATTTACTCCATACTTTGAATATAAAGGAGCTGTAGAGCATTGCCAATAATTGTGGATTTACTAAGTATATTCGACCCGTTCAGACAGGCATAAAGCCTGATGTAAGTTAATATATTTTAATAGATAGAATACACATATATTTGATATAGAAATGTTTCTCTTAGCTGACACTGCTCAACAGCATAGTTGGTTTGGCAACATAAGGTTTGTGGTTACATGAAAGATGCACAACAGTTTAAAACACAAGACTTAGATGACCGGCATATTTAACTCTGGATTTTAACCAAACTCAGAAAACCTCTCAAACAGCAGTGGAAATGGGTATCTAGAAGATTCAGAACCATAGCCAGCAAGCTCCTTGGGAGCTGATTTGCATACAAATCACAATTATTATTTGTGACCTCATATGCAGGTGCCAAAACACAAGAACTTGCTTTTAGAACATCTGATCAAGATTCGTATCAAGGAACAAATTACAAACTCATACCTGTTGAGTGGATGGTAGTCTCTGCTTTTTGTTCTGCCACTCTTTGAATCTGTCAAGGGCTTCATCCACTGAAATTTCCCCTTTTTTCACCAGTTCCTGCAAGTGGATGAGTTCTTCCTGTTCAGGAGGGATCTTGTGTACAGAAGTGCTGTAAGTTACTGTCTCAGTGTGGTTTCTGTGTGCTTCTACAACAAAATGTACAAAGTGAGAAATGCAGCAAATCAGTGAGGATTCTACCATTACTCTTCGGCAGCAGAGCAGCATCCCAAATATTTTCTTCATTAACTACTTCCCTGGTCCACGGATTCTCCATTAGTGTTGGTTCATAAAAGAATTTTCTTCTAGCACTACAGTTACAGTACCGACATTTTAAAGAAAATGGTTGCTATTCAAAATATCCACAGTGCTTCTTTGTCCCTTTCTTCTTCAATCTCATACGTATCTCAAAAGTTGTGGATGAAATTTGGTCATGAAGCATCTTGAAATTTCACAAGATTGCCTTTCTCCAAGAAAGGAAATACATTATTAAATGCATTGCAGCAACAAGAAAACACTGCAGCCCAGTGTTCCTGGAGATTATGATACAGTGCACAGCTGAAGGGAGATGTTCATTGTCAGATTCACAGCTTGGTCCAGGGAGGAGGTGTAGCTTCTCCCCAGGATACTGATGCTAGAATGGCTGATCAGAACACATGAGCAGTCATGGAAGAAGGGTTGTGAGCCCTCTATGAGGCTGTTGCACCTGTTTCACTGCAGGGGGAGCGTGGCCAGGATAAAAGTTCAGACTATCAATATGATTTGGGTCAGTTTTTCTGTTACCATGCACCACTATCTTCATTTCAAGCAAGGAAGGATTGTTCAAAGGTGTAACATTGATGGAATTTACAGTAGCAACATTGTTAGGTGCTACAACTCAAATAACAACTAGACTGCCACAGGTAATTAATTTTACATGCATCTTGGGGTGCCCAGGAGAGAACTGTTGCTCCCCCCCATTTCTGTCTTTCCATTACTGCTGGAATTACTGCACAGCTGAGCCCTCCTGTCCTTCCTTTTCTTGCCTTTAGGCACAATCATGAAGGGAAACAAAAGAGTGTGAAATACCTCTGACTCTACAAATCTTTCCTACAAGGCTATAACTTTTAGTCTTCTTTCTTTAATCTGATCTCTCAATGCTGCAATACCATTAAGGATATAAATCATAGGTGGCAAAACAGATGCTAAATCCCAAAATCAAGTCACAGCAAAACTTTACTAGTCCTACTGAAAAAATATCAAGGCAGTTAAAGAGCTAAATTAAACTCTGTACCAGGATTCTTGGCCTCGCAGTATGTCCTGCTGGTGTCACTGGTCACTCGACAGGCCTTTTGCTGAAACACTGCAACAAAATTAAGAATATAAGGAAGTTATAAAATGGCAATAAAAACCATCACATATTCTCAAAGAAGGAAGGAGACTCATAAAAGCAGGCTGGAATACATTTTTTGTTCTAGTCTAGGAGTATTTTTCAACCCACTTGTCAGTCTAATGTTAATTACTTGAAATTACATTCTGTTGCACAGAATGGCAGGATTTCCGATGTTCAAGAAACCATTACAAGAAACTTTGAAGAAAATTAAAAGGATTTATCACACAAGTACATAACTTGTCTAGAAGAAACAGCAGGATCTCAGAGGTTTTCACATGGCACAGACACTGTAACCTGTTCCTTATTTTATGGGGAAAGCTAAGGCAGAAAACCCCCCAATATTACTAGGTGGGAATAGTGACAGTGCTGAAGAAAGTGTGTGTGTATATTTGTGTCTACTTTATTCAAGCACTAGAAACAGCAAAGCACAACCCCTCTGTTGGAGTAGCCCATCATTCCCACTCCTGTGAAGTGCCCAGACTACAGCCAGCCTGGATACATCCTGAAATGCTGCACTCAAACTTTTGCTGGCAGCATATGTAACACCCAGAAGGTGGGAATTGCTCAGTTTCTGACTTAGTCTGTGTGGCAGTAGCTTTCTCTCAAGTCTCAGTTCCGATTTTCGCTAAACAAACTGACAATCTAAAGCCTAGAATAATTCCTGCCAATTAAGTAATTCTCTGTCATCACTGCAATGCAGCAACTGTGCCAGTTCAATAGAGCAAATATTTTCCTGGGGACCAAGGCCCAGGCCAAGGCAGTTCTGCTCGAGCAGCAGAGCAGGCACGCTCTCTGTTAACTCTGCTAATTTTAACTTTTTAAATACTTTTCTCTCTAATTATCAAGGAACCCTACTAAGTATGGTTGCAGTGTTTTCTTCTTTTAAAGTATTCTCCTTTCAAAGATGAAATTAAAGTAATGAGAGCACAGAGGTAATGCAGGCAGCTTGAATTTTACTGCATAAGGAGAAGGGACATATTCAACAATGTGCCTGATTGGAAAGCACTTTAATTGATAGGCTTTGAAATTTCTGCTGAGTTTTGCAGTGTTGGAGTAATCAGAAATGGAATTACTCCTCCAGTGAAAAGTAAAATTGTTAAAACCACTTTATGTGCTGCATCTTGCTGAAATGATTTTAGTTGGCAGCAAGCATTCAGTGTGGGTGAGGTCAGTGAAAACAAACGCCTGTTTCTGGAATGCCTGGAAAGGCAGGAACACTATTCTGTAAAACCACCATAGGTTTAGGGAGAACTCTGGCAATTCACCCTTTCATTCCCACAATACAATTACCTATCAACTACTTGAACACAGCAGTGAAATAAAAGAAACAGGTAATCTTGCACAGGGATATATTCCATTTTTTTTTTTTTTTTTAATGGAAGGTAAATATTCCTTCAGTAAAGCAATATTAATATAGCAAATTTTTAAAGTGTCATAATGTCACAATCCTTCAAGTAAAGATACACATTTTTAATGTAGTTTTTCATTTAATTACATCTTTTCTGGGCCTCTCTGGCACAGACAATCTGATTGAACTGTTCCAGTACTTCTGTCATACTTACTGTGCACCCTTCAATAACATCTGTGTGATCAGAAAGAAAATCCTTTTGGATTTTAAATCATGTTGTGACTGGCTAAAATATCCATAGGTATTCATAGGTCAAAATCTACATATTAAATGTCTTGACCCTATATATGCCATTTAATTTTTGTCTACAACAAACTTCTTTTGCAGTTTCTCAGAATTCAAGAAGGATGAGAGAACTAATAAGTAATTGCACTTCATTCCCTCTCCTCTCTTCAGCTGCTACAGGATACAGACGAAGTTCTTCACAAGCCCTAAATACATTTTTATGTCTCAGGCACTAAGAACTCTCTGTAGGAATGTAATGTAATCTCAATATTCTTCCAGCAAAACGAACTCTGAGAGAATGAAACTGCTGCAATATTTTCCAATAGGACATGAAACAAGAAAACGACATTTAAAAAGTGGGACAAAACACAAATTTTGTAGCAAATATGCAGAACTCTGGGAAAATCCCTAACATAAGTCTTGGAAAGTGAGTGGGATCCAAGGAACTCTGAATTGGCTGTTTTATCTCAGACTAACTAAAGATGTTGTTTTAGGCTGTCTGCACATGCAGGTAAATAATGCTATGAGGCTTGAAATTTGGTTAATATTTTCATGGTTAGTGTCACAAAAGGGTTAGAAACATTTGAAATCTAAGTCTTTTGTGTACAATTCTGAACTAAGAAGACAATTTTAGAGTAACAAACTGCAAGAAACTGTGGTGAGTATAAAGGGCTTAGAAAAAGAGAACAAAAGTTTTTACAATAGCTGCAGGTTGACAAAAAGAACAGGAATTTGATTTTCAGAATTAAATTCTAACACAAAGCTATAATGTTAAGGAGTCACAGATGCACTATGACATTTCAAAAATTGCTTAGTGACACAATTAAGAAACACAGGAAATCAAAACATGGGAAGAGTTCTTCATGGGAGAGAAGAGCTCATAACAGCTAAGAGGCTATGGTCAACCAAGATATGGTTTCTAATTTATATTTGATTTTACTCATCTAAACTATGAGGACTGTTGCCTGATTTGTTGAATTGGCAACATTACCTCTAAAAATTAAACAACTGTGCACTAGTGATTTGAACAAAGCTAGACTGATGAACCTACCCTCTGAAAGAATATATGAGCTAATCATACCTAATACATACTTGCTTGACACTTTCAGTAGCACAAACACAAAGGAGAAAAGACACAGTGATTTAAAAAAACATCAATAAATACCACAATTTTGAATTCAGCTTGCTTAGGAAACTCAAGATGCATTTATTCATCAGCTTCATTGAGCTGATGTTCCAAACAAAATTATCTATGTCTGTTTTCCTTAGGAAACATTCAAAATTAAAATACAGGAAAACAAAATCTTTATATGAACACATGGCTAAGTGATAATTCAAATTAATTAGTACACTAGGGTTGCACTTAGCAACACAACTCAGTTGCAAATTACAGTGGGTTTGCAAGCTGCCTCCTTGTTCTTAGTAGGTTTTTGCTTCATTCATTTTAGAATCGTCATGTAATTAATTTGTGATTAATGGAAGAATGGAGGAGGAGGGGTGAATTGCTGGTTAGGATATGTTGCAGAAAGACTCCTGCCTTTGCCCATTCAATTTTTTCCACATTATTTAATCATTTCAACATTTAAACTGTGCATTCATAGTACCTAGGCAAATAAAACCTCCAAGTTCTTTCTTCTGGTAGGGATTGGATTGTAAATTAGATGTAGCGCAGCAAGAGATGACAAATACACAGAGAATACTAAAGAAGGAATATAGTAGAATGATGCTTATTATTCAGGAGAGGAGAACTCTGCAGATGTTTGTTCACATCTTTTTAGAGCTCATTTTCCTTTTGTCTGCTTTGTTTGCTAACACACTGAACATCCCTCAGCATGAGGACTGGAGAGAGGTCATCAATGCAATGGTAACCAGTAAGTTTTGTAAGAGATTATCAATGACCACTCCTGAAATTCATACAAAATATTTCACACATTCAAAATGAAAACAAAAAAAACCAGTGACTGATAACATGAAATCAACTAAGGAAATGGGACCTCGTGAACAGACATTTTTCTTTTCATAGGGCAAGGCAGCTGGGCATGGATTAAAAGCATATTGTCATGGCTCATTAATCTGATCTAGGTAGGTCCAGGCATTGTGGAGAAGGGATGGCTGTGTGGTGCAAGGTAACAAAGGCTCAAGTCCCAGAAGCTGTCATGTGAGGGTAGCATTGGTGTCTGGGTATACCTACACCATGACAAGGGAAAGGGAAAAAGACTGAGCAGTTATAAGTACATCAGTGCAGGAAAATGAGTGACCACATCTACACTGGCACAGGAATTCTGATCGGGCTTAAATGGGCAGCCTGACACTCAAGGTGTTTTTGAGAACACACAACAGTCATTTCATCAGAATAAAGACTAGGTGATGCCAAATGCACCTGCAGAAATACCAACCTGCCACGTTGCTCCCTTATGTTGCCAGGGCTTTTCAGTGACAGCATCACAGCCACTCATCCCAACTTACACGGGCTATTGCCAGCCTCTACCTTCCACAGCTATTTAGTTGACTGAGAACAAACCACTCAGTCTTCTCAGACCAAAAGCAAAATTATTTTAAAAGGAATTGTGGAGTAATGATGTGAAAATATTAACCCAAAAATAAACATATGCTCACCAGCAATTCCCTTCACAATTTGCAGCGAGATTCTGAGTCTGACAAATAAAAGCTCAAATCTGCTAGAATCCCAGCAACTTTGGTCACAGAGGGACTTCAGGAGAATCTACAGAGATGGCTCCCCTACACTGAAGCAGGATAATAAAAATAATACCAGAACCCCCTTCTTACAGAAGGGCTAAAGAGTGAGTGAGGAGGGGTGGTACTGGTGGTTAGTTGAAGGTGCTGCTCAGAGGGTGGTGTCAATCTACTGTGTACCACAGTACCACAGACAATGAAAACAACTCTCACACCTCTGCTCTTGTCAGAGTTTTAACTCAGTGGATTGTGAGAGCTGGAAGGACTAGTGACATACTCAAGAATATTTGCTCCAGCATGTAAAACCTGAATATACTTCTTTAGTCCCATTTTTCTTGAGTAGAGAAAAGCAAAAAGAGAAGGACATGTTTTCACTTCAAATATACTATGTGGAACAATTTGGTTTGCAACCAGGCAGCATCCCATAAATATTTTCTCTCTGTGCACCTTATTCAATACTTGCTTCAATCTACCAGAATTCAGATAGCAAAAAATTTGATTGAATGAAGACAGTGGGTGAAGCTGGTATACCACTCCCAACCAGGTCTGTAAAAATGGTCTATCTGCCAGCCAAACAGTGCTTCCTAGTATTTCATTCATGGAAAAAAATCCTTAAGTTAGAAATACATAATGAAATTCATCTGCAGTGCAGTACTTTATACTCACTGTAGGAGAGTACTACAAAATCTCTCTGTGGGACATTAATGTTTTGCAATTTGCATGGCCTCTGAGGCTTCACTTTGGAAACCTCTGCTTTAGAGCATTTAAACAATCGGCATAATAAGAATTACTGACTCAGGATGTGATCACTGTATTTCCCAGTAATCAGCCTGATAAGTTTCCAAGACACTAACAGCTCTGTTCTGGAGTTTATTTATTCACTTCAGTGGGTTTATGCTATCTATTCTGTTTGTGAGATATTCTGCTTCCCTAAAAATATCCACTGGATGCTACTTCTTCTGCATACCCTGTGATTTTGATGAGCAATGAGAATGTTATTCTCCACTGGAACAGTAACTGGAAAATATATTTTTCCACTTCTAATTTTTAACCCTAGGATGAGGTCCCACAGACAGCTATCTTTAAATAGCAAAATGTTTTTAATGCACAGAAGGGAAATACATTCCTTCAGGGATTTGTGAGAGGTTTGCAAAGGAATAAAAGCAATAGCATAGGAAATTTATGCTGTTGTGGGGCAGGTATCCTTGCTGCAGAGAAACCCTTTCATACTAGTGGTCTGTGATGAGAGGTAAATGATTAAACCAGGATAGTAATATAATACTTAACCCTGAGGGAGTCCAAGTAGGTCAGGCTTCAGAAATGGCAGGGGCACTGCAGAAACTCATGCATCTGTCCCACAGCTACACTGAGGATTTTGGTTTCCAGTTCAATCAAACTTGCTATCAATAGGGAACATTAAAATAGCACTCTAAACTGAAAACACACCACCTTCAGATGTTTATTTAACAGTTGTTTTGGCAGCAGACAATTTAACAAAACACTGAAATAACCTTCAGAGGAATACTAAGCACCTAAGGAATGGTAAGGGAGCACAGTAAGAGTGCACACCATCTGGACAACGAGTTACTTGGCACCAGTTTGCAGCTCCATTAGTTGATGAGTCTTTCACACACAAGATAAAATTATTGCAGTGGTCTAAATTAAAGAACAAATGTACTCTTTGTCAATAATGCAGCCTGTTTACCAGTGTTCAATACAGCAGTTTGAATGTTCATTAAAATTTGAAAGTATAATAAATGAAACCGAGCAAAAGCGATTAGAACACTTATGTTTTAAATCTTTCAACTCCCCCATGTTTCCCAGAATTTATGTGTCAGCAAATTCAAGGCAGATGCTCAAACTGTAAATTGTGGTAGTTTCAGTTATGACAACTTGCATCACTGAGTGTTTACTGCCTAGGTTTTGAAGTGTAGATCTTGCTCTGAAAGTGACTCTTGTCAAGTCATGTTTGCTTTCCATAGATCAACAGTTTCCCTATCCTGTTCTGCAGAACACCAAGTGGGGTAATCTACAGGGAGCAGGCTTTCTGCCCAGTGTAAACTTCATATTCCATGTATTTGAAAACTGTTTATTACAAAGAAAACTATTTGCTTGCTTTCTTCTTTGTTGCTATTCTCATGGAAGCACCATCACTTTTCTTTAAAGGAGAAGATACTCTTTTGTAATGTCATGGCCTTCATTCACAGTCATGAGTGGTGAAAGCACCCATGGAAATTCAGCCATTTGATTTCTCCAGATGGATATAAAGTCACCTGCATGCAATCCAGGAGGCAAAAGGCATTTCTGTTCTGCAATGGTTACTTCCACCCCTAAATAAATGAGCCCCTCTCTAGGTACATAAAGTGCAAGAAAAAAATCCTCCTCTTGCATCTCTGCATGGCACTATCACACCAGTCTCTGCAATCCTTGGGGCATGAAGCTTCCCATGAACTCCCAAAGTACATGGGGATCCATTTGTGAGCAAATGTGTAGCCTTAAAACATCCCCCGTCTGTGCATCATACTCCATTCTGTTTTTCCACAGGACTTGTGTCTTACTGAATGCCAGAAGGGAGCAGTTCTGAAGATCAACCAGAACTGTGCAGTGAAGACAAACTGTTTCTTACAGGGATATTAAATAATTTGTCTTATAAATTAGAAGGTTTAGCAAATAGAAAGTGAATACAGAGGAGGGAAGGATGGCTCAGTTAAGTAACTAAAAGTTGCTCTGCAGGACAGGATTTATCTTTCCAGCAAAGCCCAGGCCAAAGGTCAAACAAGTCATTTAAGGCAGCAATCCAACTTGCAATGCCTGACATCAGAGTACTGACTAGATACAGTAAGGATTTAATTTGAAGTTCTGAGAGCTCATAGTGGCCACTGAAATCAGTGGTGTCTCTGCTTTGTATGAGCAGTGTTATGTAATGCTGCTCACCTCAAGAATCTTAGTTACTACATACTGGGCATCCCAAAACTCAGTGGATGCAGAATCAAAGGGTTTATAGCAGGAGGGTCTGGAACAACACATGGAGTCTAGGAGCAGGTATGAATTATATGTTAAACAAAATGAGAATTAAAAATACTGAAGTATTTTTATGCTCACCCACTTTAAACACTAGATGACATGAAAGAAAATATCTGAGAAAAATAGCTGCATATGGCTACCTACTTAATACTGCATTGTAATGTTCCTGGCAGGGAGAAAGGGTAAAACTACCTCAATTCTAACTTTTTGATTATTTGACTTTGCAATATCTGCAACACTCTTTTTTAATATAATAGATGAAAGCAAACCCCCAAACCATCATCCATTTATTTTCTGGATGAAAAATGTGTATATGCATAACTAGAGTTATTTTACTACTATAGAGTTACATTATTTTACACTGCTTAAATTATAAAGGAAGGGCTGCAGGCACATGCAGATTTTAATGATGGATTGGAAGGAGGTTTCCTGGTTCATACAGATGAAACAATCTTTTTTTTTATTTTTTTATTTTTATCAAATATAAGGAGTTCTAAAATAATAAATAGGAAATCGGGATGTTGCTGAACTGGAGAGGGAAGTTTTTTAACCAGTGTGGAGGAAACAAATTGTCAATCCAAGTAGCAAGAAAAAAATCTTTCAGATGAAGATATATCCCTTCTGTCTAAAATTTCACTAGTTATCTCAGGAATCCCTGGACAAAAATGAGATATTCTAGGTCTGGAACCAGCAGGATAGGCAGCAAAACAGAGACCTGAGTGGTCAGCTGAAGATTTCTTGAAGTGATTCCATTTTTCCTCATGTATTGTGTAAGCAAAGGAACACAAGCCAAAGGCTGATTTCACAGAACCACTGGAAAATGATTTGTCTACCACAAAATGCTTATGAAAGCAAAGGTAAAAAACTTGTGTGTGTACAAATGGATATGTACACATATGGATATACGAACCACATATGTGGTTCACATGGTGAACCACAGCCCCTTCAGTGCAGTTCCTCTGATAGCATCTGCCTCAGCCAATAAACAAAGCAGAAACACTCCAGTGCAATATAAGACAGTAAAAGCAATCTCCCAAATAAAGCATCTCCACTAAGGGTTTCCAAGTCAATGGCCTGTCTATGATGATGGTGGACCAAGATTTGAGACACTGCTCTAGCAACCTCAGTAAAAGCAGCTGTTTCATGTCTTCTGTAGCTGTAACAGGCCCCCTGTACTCATCCATTCTTGGATTACACTATAATGATTCATACTTACACCTCCTGAATATGTTAAAAAAAGAGCAACTAAATGATGAATGCATTAGGCCATGCATTCTGGCCCTAACCTGGAGTTACACAGCCCAGAGGAAGAGACCTAGCTAGGAAGAATAAAAGAAACCACTGACTGAGACAGACATGAACGAGGAGGTGCTACTCTGTATTTGGTAGGATGTTTTGGGTAATATTAATTCTGTTTTAGTATAAAACATGCACAGCATGAAGTAAGCAATCCAATGGTGTCCTTTGACAACATATTTTTTACCACCTATTCTTATGAATTGGAAGGCTTCTGTAGGAGAAGCTGGAGATGCAGGCAGGATGGATTTTGGGACTTAAAAAGAGATCTCTGCAGTATATTCACTGAATTACTTTTGTTACTTTCAAATTTTGTTTCAGTCTGAATGGGATTACAAAGATACCTGAAATCCCTTCTGGTCTTGTATTTCCATGAAATTTCTCAAAAAGGTTTCCCAGTTTTCATGGAAGTGGTAAAAGGACATAATTTTTCCTTCAAGAAATATAATGATCCTACCTAGAAATGCCCATTCCTAGCATCTCAAATTTGAGAAAAGATATTTGAAAGAGTAATCCTCACATAGGCATTTCTCCCATAAAAGAGAATTATTCTCATCAGAAAAAAAAAAAATATGAGAGAGAGATTTCAGTGTTAAGTAAAACCATTTTGATAAAGAAACTGGAAAGAAAGGCAATTCAAACAGCACATGCTACATTGCATGCTGTAACATATGCACTCACAGTTAGCCCAATGATTCTTCATTTTCTATCATATTGTCATAATTTTTTAAAAGCTAAATAAAAACTGTGATACTATCTCTGATGCAAACTGAAAATTATTCAGAGATGTTCTCAGCTCATTTGAAGGGTGAGAATAGGTTGATTGAAACAAACAACGTGTTGGTTTGAAGGCAGCTGAACAGGGAGTTTAGAAAATGTTACTGCTCAAAGAGAAGAGACCAAGAGAAGAGTCTACAGGCTCCCAGAAAATATTTACATGGCAGCAGCACCAACCTTGAACTATGTAGGGAGTGTTGTCCTCTCTGAGCAGTGAACACACGGGCCGAGGCGCAGGGGCTGGAGGCCTGTTCATGATAAAGGACCTGCAGTGCTTCCTTTTCTCCTCCTCCTGCTCCTCCTGCCCCAGGATGAGGTCGTACACACATTCATCCAGTGCCACACAAGTGTAGGGGTGCTCCTCCTCGCTGTCCTCCTCGCAGGTACCTTGGTCTTCTCTGCAGCATGCAGTTGTGAGTCCATCACCCTGTTCTCTCTTACTCCTGTCCATCACAAAATTCCTCTCTGAAAAAGGAAAGAATTGTGCTGCATGTACAGGGTAAAGAAAGGAGATTATGACTTATCTTATAGCTTTAGATTTTCCTAAAGTAGCTCAGAGAGCTCATTTCACTTCTAAATTAAAGCACTCTGATTTTCAGAGGCTTCTGATCATCTAACTCAGTAGAGAGGGTGTCCCAAAGGAATAATTCCAACTGCAAGGCCCCCTCATGATTTCACATCAGATCATCAAATGCAGATACTTAGCTATTGGCCACAAAATAAATGGATTTATTTGCAGAAATACTGAGTGACCCAGCTGCTCTTGTGAGAGTTATACCACCATGTAAGTCATGGTAACTAACATGTAACTCATGGTTAAGTAAGTGGTACCTACAGCCCTTGGCATTCTGCAAAGTCAAGATGTTTGTTACCTGTTGCAAAAATGACTTTAGAACTGAAACATAGTTTAGGAAATGTTGGATTTTGTGTTTCCTACCTCTTCAATATCCCATGGGGTTTTGAGGTCTTTACAGATCTACTGCTGGCCAAGGTGAAAAAGAAATTGAAGAACTCCTTTGCAATGCAGGTAAAATATAGGAGCTCCTACAATCTATGCTAAAACTATTTAACCTTCCCCCCTCCAAAACCTTCCACATCTCTCTGTGCTCCCTATACTTCATATATTTCACAGTACAGCTACTCAGAACTTGCTTTTCCATAGTTTTTGCCTTTTATAGCATTAAAAGGCATTGATGTTTTTTCTAATACGCGGGTTTGTTTTGATTTGCCTTAAAACATCCACAAACTGCCAAGATTGAGAAGCTGTCACTGAGGCTGGTCTTCCCATAAATGTTCATAACTTCCTTGGCATGATTACCCATCTTTCCTGCAAAAACAGTATACCTGCCTGGAATTCTTGTACTGACTCACATTCCCCTTGTGCTGTAATTTACTGCCTGTACGTATGTGTATCTGCTAAACTTGGCTGTGGTCACTAGTGGTGTTTTCAATGCTTTGGCTGCTATTTAAAGAATTACCTGTTTATGTGTTCAGAGGAGCTAAACAACCTTTGTAAGTGGGATACATTTGTTAATGGGATGTATTAATAATAGTATGTACTATTAACATCCATTCTGGCTAAGATACATGTTTTAAAACCACAAGTGGTGTTAATACACCTGCCATATATAATATGAATAATATTTTGTTTCTAGGTCACTATATACTTTCTCTGTAGGACATTCTTTCTTTCAACTTCCACAGGGGCACTCTCAGGCCACTGCCAAACAAGAAGAAGAGGGGACTTGACTTTGAGGTACTCATCAACAACTCTTAAAGCAAGCAGCTGGATAAAAATATGTAGCAGTAAGTCATTACAGTTCCTCTTTGAAAGGAGGAATCATCTTCATCTAGAGAAATTCTGATACCTCATTCCTCAGTGATGAAACCACAGCTCAAAACAGAATAATTCAGTGCACATTTTAAATGAACTATCATCACAGGAGCATTTTTAGCTGAACTCTGCTATACCCACACAGGAGTTGGCACAGGACACCAGGAAACTTTCTCTGCTGGTACACACATGCAGACAGAGAGCATTTGGCAGAGAAGGTGACATTATTGTGGTGATGTAGCCATATAAGAACTATTCCAAGACGGGCATTTATAACAAACCTACTCCAACAAATCCTGTGTGCCAAAACTGATCCCTCATTTATAGATACATATAGATGCAGCTGAGTGGTTTGTGGGAAGCAAAACCCTTAATGTAAATTTTATTCTGCCCCTTTTTCTCTTAGACTTCACTTATGACTTTCTACCTATAGCCATTGCTTTCCTGCAAAACAGAATACAGGATAAAATCCTACCTACAGCAAGGCATTTCTGCCTAATTATGTGAACGTCAGAGTGCTTGGTAATGGTAATTTAAGATTTTAATAGGTTACACCATGTTTGAAAACAGAGTTAACAGTAATAAGCTGTAGAGATACTGGGAAGCAATTTGTGTGCACACTTATCAGCAGTGTCTATAAGATATAAGAAAGGCTTATTTTCCCCCTATGCAACTATTTAAAACTGGTATTTAAACTTGAATTATTTTGCATACTTGTTTTTCCCAATAAATAAAATCGGTGATCATCCCTCCTGAAACAGATGCAATAGTACTTTGAGTTTCTTATCACTTTAATGAAACTACAACACAAAATTTATTTTTTTACTCTGGGGAGGATGTATTAAAAAAAGGAAAAAAAGGCAAATCATTTGTCAGAATTTCTGCCTTTCTTTTCAATCTGCAATATAACTTTTTACTTCTAAGTACCTACAAAATTGACTAAAATGGAGAAAGATACTGTTACTTCTCTCTGCATGGTCAGTTTCTAAAAATTCTATTAATTTTAATGTGAAATTTCAAGCTGTATATTAAATCACCATAGCATTTAATATTTTAAAATGGTAAATAATAATGAAGTCAACTTGACAAAAAATACAGGCTTCATCTTTGTTTCAAGCCTCTCTTGCAAATCCAGTGCACCATGCACTATTTGGCAGCTCTTTGAGATAGATGGAGTGAGAAAAAGCTGAACCCAGCAGCCCATACCACCAGTATTTACCTGATAAACCTGGTCATGAGTATTTTGATGCAGCAAAGGCCACATGCAGATGCTTGTTTTGCAGAGTTAGGGCTTCATATGCACAAGCTTGCTTTGTAGCATCAGGGCTGTCCTGCCCAGCTACTGCCAGAAGTGATCAAACCAATCTCTACAGCAGCACATTGTCTGTCTTGCACATGTTTGTATCTGGGTTTTTTTTCCTCCCAAGATCTTACCTTGTAATGAATTATGCAGATTGTCCTGTCTTTGGATGCCAGGCAGATTTCGAGGGGGAGGAGGGGGTGGCCTCTTGCATAAAAAGCAATCTCTCCTGCTCTCTTTGAGCTCATCCCCTACATTGGCATACAAACTGCCAGGACTGTTGTGAATTCTGTATGAATCCTCCTCTTCTTCATTTTCATATTCTGTCTCCTCTCTGCTGTCTTTTAGGTCATCCTTCTTTTCCTCATCCACCTCGACTTCTTGTTGGCATTTCGATCCAACTGCATATTGATCTCTTGAGTTCTGCTTGGCTTTTAATATTAAAGAAAGCATTATTTCATTTAAAAATTGTCATCTGGAAGCATTTCTTGTTTCAAGGATTCCTACAGAAGCAACACAATGGCTAATAAAACTTTTATGAATTGATACAGCAGGAAAGCTGTCAAATTCTTACCATCAGTGAAGAGCATTTTAAATATTTACTAAATCAACAGTGGAAGTTTTCACTGTGTCTTGCTACTCTGATACACACCATTTTCGTGTGTGCAATGTTAAACTTTTCTAGAGCAGCTGTCAGAATGAAATCACACACGTTTTCCTTGCCTCCAGAATTTCTATTACGTGACTTTCAAAGCAGCACAGTGCAACACTTGGCAAAATAAAGCCATAGCTCACTCATCTGTGTTACTGCTTTTTGTACAAGGGGATTTAGGTGCTAATTTGAATCTCTCTGAAATGAAATAAACACTGTCCATGGGAGACATGACTATAGACTTGTGGAAACAGAGCTCTTCTGTCTCTAGTGACCCACAGACCTAGAACAAAGTGGAGGGATATGAAAGTGTACATTTTAATCACTACGTACTGCATCAACATTTTAGCAGTCAACCTCAGTGATGTAACAGAGTAAACTACACAATCTGCCAGCAGACTTAACTGAGGCCTTGAAGTAGGTTTCCATTCTGAGTTATAATTTGGGGATGCCTGCCTTTCACCACTGATTCAAATAGGAAGTTAGGGCATTTACCTGGCTAACATGGTACAATTCATACTCTTTTCCCAGGTGTTCACCCTGAGTTGTTCCCATATACAATGTGACAGAGACAGTGAAAATTTTAGCAGAGCAAACCTGTTGTTTCACAGTGTCTATAATCTACCTCTATGTGCTAAAGCAACCAGTTTGAACTTAGCAAGAAATGTCCTTTTCATATGTATGAGAGAAAAATATAAAATTTTCAACAAGATAAAAAGAGGATTAAACTTAGTCTCATAGATCCATGATACTGTAAGATATATGCGAAATATATGCCATTGGTAAATTCAAACAAGCAACTTTGCAGTTTTCAAGGAGAATGCATACAACCACACAGATCATCAGCAGGCTTGTCACCAATTTATGCTTGAAAGTAGGAATATCAAGCTGCAAAATGTCAACTATCTATGCCTCCATACAGGACTTGACTGTACCTGTAGGCATTGCCTCCCCTTTTATGAAGGTTCTTCTCTGAGAGCTTGGAGAATTCAGCAGTTTTCTAGGTTCAGAATGGAGATCACAAATTTCCAGAGTTTAAAAGGAGGGGTGATTGCACTGAGGTATCTCATACTGAGCAAGAACTTTATTATCTCAACTGAATCCCTAAATTGCCTTCTCCTTTTAGGACATCTACCCTCCCTGGAAGTTGCAGTACCACATGGAAATGGAGAGTATTAGAGTAACTTACCCTCTCTGCCCATGAACTCATTCATTTGATACAGCACATGGTACATTCATTTGACCCTACCAACAAAGCTGTCTAACAGCATGACTTACCCAGGGCTGGTGGAGTTTCTGAGCCTAACATAAGATCACAAGTGTTGCTGTGTTCCACTTCCTCCTTGCAATTAGTGAAATCACTTGCTGCACAATTCTAGAAAGAAAAACAATGGAGAATACTTGTTTTAGTAGGATTATCTCCTATCTTCATGTTTTGCTATTGATATAATATACAACATTCTGCTAGGAGGAAAGTGAAGACAGGAACATCATGCATTTGCAGCTATGTAGTGGTAAACACACTGCAGGCAAAAGGACCGTGCATCTCTGGATACAGTGAAAGGACACAATGTTCTGACACAAAACACCAAGTTTGCACAGGAAGGATTTAAGCTCATTGACCTTTCTCTTTCCCCTAGCACTTTGCTGGGCTGTCTAGACAGTTCCCAGCTCTGCTCCCAACTGTGAAGCACTCAAAGATTAAGAGAAAGATGAGTAACAGCAAAACATCAAGTCCATAGGGCATGACTGAGGAGCTCAAGGGTGCAAGAAATCTCTGGGGAGTCCATTGCAAACAGTGGCTTGTACCAAAAGTCACGTGTGTGCTGAGAAACCAGTAATGGGCATGAAAAGCATGTTTGGAGTTCTACCTCAGTGACCAAATGTGGCAGAGTGGTGTTTTATTCCTCTAGAATGCTGTTATGTTCACACAGTGCTATGCAAAATTAGCCCAAGGAGGTTCAGAACAATCAGTTCTCTAAAACATTATCAGTGTATTTCCTCAAGCTGAAGAGGTACAAACTTCTGCTCACCAGTGAAAAGCAAGCCTGTAACACAGCTACTGACAGTTCTGCTGTCTAGAATATAGAACACACATTTATTAATTTCTGATTTTCAGAAACAACTGTAATTTCAAAAAAGTGACAGTTTTTTTAGAGAATCCCATCAGGACTGTGATTCTCATGTAAGAGCAATACAAAACTACCCTCTATAGACAAAATGGAGCCCTCAATAATTAATCAGTACTTTTGAATCACAAAATGTTAACTCCAGGGGCTTGGATATGCCAGCCCCAAAGCAGGTAGGGAAACACCATGGTCCATATATCATCCAGACTGCAAGATTAATTACAAGTAGAATAGTGGACAGAAGTCAAGAGGAAGAACTGATAGGCAATTACACCCTTCTGCATGGTACAGAAAATGATTCTCATCATGCTGGAGCTCATGCTGGACTCTCAAGGAGTTTGTTCCAGGTATCCTTCTGTCTTGGGGCACCCACAGCCACTGCCCAGGGATAGGGTGCTCCCTGCATGAAAGAGGAAAATATTTTGAGAAATAGCAGGAAGAATGCCTTCTTCCTTGCTGCTGTTTTACGCAGCCATCTCCTGGATACCAATCTGAAGACACTGCAGCCACCAGACTGTGCAACAGGTGCCTCCCTGGCTCGCTTTGCTGCTTTACAAACACACCTGGATCTCTACACATCTCCAACATCAGAGGATTCATCTCCACCTTCTGTGCCCATATAATGTGCGCATCAGAGAGAGAATCTTGTTTTTCTTGAGCTCCCCTATTATCTATATAGTTCCTTTATGCTTCACAGGAACAGGATACCTCTCTCAAAAGCCCCAAAGTTAGGGCTTTTCAGAATATTTATTTTCAAAAGATTTAGGCCTGCATGTGCTAAATGTAAGTGTACATTGTGGGAGTAAAAAATATGTTTCATATTCATTTATGTAAAAACATATGTTTGATATGTTTCCTGTGAAGAGAAGATGTATGTAGAAGAAACCAAGCAAGGAGAGATCTAGATATAAGTTCTCCTGTTATGACACTGGAGTACACCCAGGAAATTCTTTCAAGGTGAAATCTGAATGTTTCAGAAGACTGAAGGTCAGCTGTCCTGCTAGTTTATAGCTGCTCCACTGATAATGCTGAGTCATAGGGAATTCAGGATGCAATTCAGAAGTTTAGCCCCTGACTACACATTTTAAGTCTCCTGGACCTGTGAGACACAGAAAGGCTGACAGGTGTAAACAGTCTTTAACTAAATATATTTACACTAGAAAAAAATTCTGTATAATGAATAAATTATTGGCAGAAGTCTCCTCTGACTCTGGGCATGTTGACACCGTGCAGCTAAAAATCATGCAATGTCTCCAAAGGCAGTGGAAAGTGTCCCTATTTAAGAATGCAAAGCAAAGTAACTAAACTGGAATAATGCCATGACTCAGCTTGCAAACCTTGCCATGGTGCCCTGAACGAATGACCATTGCTTTTTAAGTGTCTTTTACATGGTTTGGTCATGTAACTTGAGTGTAGTAGCACAGCTGAACTTCCAAGCTGTTTGAGCCTGTTTGGCTGAAAATGGGTCTTTGGTTTATTCTAGAGATCTATTATGGATGTCAAGCCACCTTCCAAAGGAAGAACTAGCTTAACTGGAAACCAGCACCACAAAAAAAAATAAAAATAATTATTGCTCTCAGCATGAAACTGCACACAACAGACTATGGGAGAGGGTTTTGAATGTTTGAAACTTGTTTATGAGTTACCAAAATAATTTTCTTACCTCAGGATGCAACAGGAATGCTGGCATGCATTGAAAGTTCTCTGAGAGACTGAAATTGTTTCAAGTCCTAAGATTAAATGCCACCTCTCAACATCAAAATGTAGATACCTAATTTTCTTTCATTTATCTATTTTAACTGTCTTGATTAACTGACTTTCAAAAAGGTAAAGTTTTTTAATAGCTTCAAAGCTGTTCCTCTGATACAAAGCCTGAGGTGATTTATCTCAGCACTTTACTCAGGAATTCATTAGGAAAAGTATTATAACCTGTCACATTGTTCATGGAGGTCTCTGGGCCTTCAAGGAGACAAGTGTAGTTGTTGGTTGCTATAAAGATGTTTCTGTATGACTGTATCAGTCTTGAAGGCAAAAAAGTTTAGAGAATTAAAGTCTTTGCTAAAAGCTTTTGGTATAAAGTACTGAATTTATTAATTATTTAATGATATCAGATTCCAACAATAACCATCTCGTCAGCATTTTTTACAGTGCTTTTCTGAAGAGCCATTTTTGTAAGGCACGTTTTTGAAAGATACTCTCCTTGTTAAACTGAGACAGAGTCATCCACCCTGGCAAGGGCTGACAGCATTGAAATTAGGTAAATTTACCTTATTGTACAGTGGGGAATGAAACATTAAAGAATGCAGAGGAATCTAACCCAACAGTAATGTTGTATCAAGTTACGGCAAGAGCGAGAAGCATCTGGACATCACCACTTCATTTATAAACAGTTACATGTAAATATATCAATCACAGCTCACATTAGCTTTATGTATGAGATATAAATGGATATATCTAAAATATATCCATACCTTGTATTTATAGAAACAAAGTAAGAACTCCTGATTTGTGTAGGGCGATTTGATCTTCTTCTGGATTCTAGGGCATTTCCAGCTGCCTGTTGGACAGAATTCAGGTTTGCAAGTAGACATCCCAAAAATACCCTCCAGTCACACTCAGGCCTGTTCTTCCCAGGCTCAGACAAATCTGGTTGCCTGATTTGTTTATAACATGTCACCACAACATTCCTTCTTATCCCACTCCCAACATTCAAAGTTTGCAGTTCTGCCAAGAGATGCGTTGCTCATTTGTCTGTCTCCCACTACTCTGTAGTTCAGCATTTCAGAGCAGAGGACAACTATGGCATGGCTGTCTTACAGGCACAGTTTTAGGCATCCTCTTCTGACTATCAAGCAACAAAATAACATTGCCTATTGCTGCCAGTCACCCGGAGTTGAACCTGTGTTGATCACCAGGAAACACCAATTTCTACCACGTGACTTCCTTGAGACACACCAATCTGAAAGATTCCAGCAGCTGCCCTCTCCCTCTGCTGACCTGGAGTCCTGATCCTCCTGGGATTTTAAGAAACAAGTGGACAAATGCTGCTTAAGGCTACCACAGTCTATATGGGCTTGCTAGAAAGGCTGCAAGAGCAAGCAGAGCCCAGATCCAAGTACAGCAGTGCTTTTAAAAGTATCTGATACCAACTAAGCGGGTATGTGGATGTCTATGTCTTTGGAGTCAGGGCATCCTAAAGAAAATAAGTATTTTCTCTAAATGTCATTAGAGAAGAAAACCAAGAGGAGATGGTCTCATTTGCACTTTTTCTTTCAGCACCTTTTGTTTCTTTTTTTCTCTCCAGTGCACATCTCAGGCAGTCCTTTCTGAAAAGTAAAATCAACAGCTTTGAAAACGTAGAAGCTGATGTGAACTGCAAACACTTCAAAATTTCATGTAACTGTATTAAGAGTGTGCCCACTCATAAATCATTACACTGGCTCATGGACTTGGAAGGAATTTGAAAAATTTTTCTATTATTTAAATTGCTAATAAGGTACTGAATAGTACAAAAACCAGGATAACACTAATTAATAAGCCTTTCCATTTTCACAATGAATAGTTGAAAAAGACCCTTATAAAAACATTTCTAATTATCTTATTATCTTGTTAGCTCCATTTCATTTTGTGCCTTGATCCTTCTTGCAGTATTCTTAAGTGTCTATGCTACAATTCTATCTTGACATTAGTAACTTGATACTGCTTCTACTTAGTGTGGACTTCATTCTCCTACTTGGGGTTGTTCTCTTGCTACTCTTTCAACCTTTCCTTCCTACTGAGGTAAGTGTGCACTTGGATATGCTTTTTTTTTAAAAAAAATGCTGCTATTATGCTGCTATTTTTCATTCCTGTCATAGAAACTAGATACAATAACAGATCACTCTTACCAAGGTTACCCTGTCTGGACAACTTCAATGATTTCCTCTTTGTTTACACAGAAAAGAGCCCTCTAGCAGTTTCCTTCACTTAAAATGTCAAAATCTTATAAATGCATTTAAAAACTTGTTGGATAATGTCTCCTGCTGTATTCCTTTCCAGGCAGATGCTGGTGACCTGGACCTCAGCAAAAGCCTACGTGCTGGTACACAAACACACTGAAAATGTCCTCCCACCAGGAGTGAATTTAAGCACAGAAGAAAACAGGATGTAAATAGGGTAAGTAATTTCTGGACCTCAAGACAGAAGAAATTGTTTTCCTTGGCTGGATGTTTCCTCCATTTCTTTGTCATAGGCATACCAGATTTTC